CTCTGATAATATATGCATCGTAGAAGCAGAGAAGTATGTGGTTATGGTCTCTTAGTGTGTCAGGCAGATATTGATTTGGTCTAAAAAGATTTATGAACTTTGTGAGAGATATTGACTCTTGATATGCTACAATTGATGGTGGCTCTTGATGAACTTGGGTTGTGGTTCACTGATTTTGTTTGTACTAGTTAAAGGAGAGAGTAGTTTCTAATGTTGTGTGTCCTTTGTGCATCCATAGTGGAAAACACATTGTTGATATTGTAATGAACCCTCAGGTTTGAATATTTCTGGTTCTTTTATATGTTTTTCTCTTTCTGCCTAATGGTCTATTTGCTGTTTTGATTAGTGTGATTGGGTACTGTGGAAGTTGTCAAATTATTTAACTTCTAAGCATATTCTTACGATCGGATTATTTTGTCTTTTGAACATTGAAGCTCTGAGCAATCTGAGGAGGGAGCTAAAAAGGAGGAACCTCAAGAGGAGGAACCACCTGTAGAAGAGGAAGCTCCTAAGGCAGAGGAGGCTAATAAGGAAGAGGGAGCTACTAAAGAAGAGGCTGAGAAGAAAAACTAGAAGTATTTTTTGGATTGTGGTGAGAAAAGTTGAGTTCTTGAGGCTTAGCTTCTGAGAATTTGTGTTGTTAAATTAAGACGATGATAAGTTGTGTGTGGAACTCGATAGAAAATTTTGTTAGGGTCCTTATTTATAAACTCTCTCGTGAGTCTTCTTTGCATACTCTGTTGCAGTTTTTAGATTTTTTGGTGTTTTTACTTATGAGTTGTACAATTTGTTATTCGTTTCATCATTTATTGTTTTCAACACATACATGTATTTCTTTGAGATTGAACTTCGATCCACCAATATAGAGATATCCCGCAGATTGGTCTGCGCAACAATATCTGCTCGAAGAGTGTTAGCTGATACTCACTCTATTCTCTAGGCAGAGTGTTCCAAATTTTGAACACGAGTCCAGCGACTTTCGTGCTCCGATGATTGCTTCTAGTGTTCTCTCGGGACAACAGGTTCCGATCATGCGTAGCGCAGGGCAGCCTTCGATGGTTTCACCGACTTCTTCATTAAGATACAAACCACTCTTAATTGTCATGGCTAGCTCTGCTTCTTGTTACTTGTTTAGTGTGGTCTGGACGGACAGGACTTGAAATATAAACCACATAAAATCCACAATTTGCCTTAGCGATACATTTGTAATTTTCACTTAATTGACCCTATGATTAATTAATTGACATAATTAACCTTTTTGGAGGAATAAAGGTTATGGATCTGTTATTATGGTATAGTATAATCTTTTTATTCAAACTGAATAACTACAAGTTTCTTTATGTAGGAAAATATCAATAGTAGATTTTATGAATAATCATCTTTTAATTTTTTTGCTAAGGAGATGATCTTTTAATTTGTTCTTTCTAATTATGTACTATCAGATCATAGAATATTATCTCACCTACAATTTTCCTTAAATTATTACTGCTGAAACTGTATAAAATAAAACCTTTAATTATATATTTTTGAGGCTAATTCTTCATCATAAATTTTTCTTAATTTTATAAGAATTATGAAAAGCAAAATACTAATAACATTCTTCGCACTCTGTTTAACCGTCGTGGCCGTTACGGCGAGTAACGATTCCTACTACGGCAAAACCAAGCGAGCTAATCTAAAGGAGGAGAAAGTGACACGTGTCATCTTCTTCCTCCATGATATCCTCAGTGGCCAAAACCCTAGCGCCGTCAGAATCGCACACGCCAATCTCACCGGTGCCTCAAATTCGCCGGTAGGATTCGGAAGCTTGTTCGCGATGGACGATCCGCTCACCGTCGGGCCGGAGAAAGATTCAAAGGTGATCGGAAACGGCCGTGGAATGTACATTTCCGGGAGCAAAGACATGGGTAAATTCACGATCGTCATGTACGCCGATTTGGCGTTCACGACGGGGAAGTTCAACGGAAGCTCGATTAGTTTGTTCTCGAGGAATCCGGTGGCGGAAGAGGCCGGAGAACGAGAGATCGCGATCGTCGGTGGTCGTGGGAAATTTAGAATGGCGAGAGGTTATGTTAAAATCAAAACGCATCGGATTGACATGAAAACCGGCGATGCTGTTCTCCGATATGATGCTATTGTGTACCATTATTAACCAACTATAAACAAAAAAAAAAAAAATTTAAAAACCGAAGATTAAAATTGGAATAATTAGTTTAACCAATGCACTTGAAAAAGTCTTAAGCAAATTCCTTAACACTATTAAGCAATGTAGCTGGCTGAAAAAGTTTGAGAAATTATGTTCGAATTATTTTTTATTCGATTCACAAAAGCTAACTAGTGCGTAATTATGGTTATGGACTATCTTTTGTATAACCATCTAATGAAGCAATAAAAAAATATGATGTTTTCACTGTTTCGTGTTAATTCTAATTGTATTTTCATTTTGTATCACTGTCTCGTATAACCAAAAAAATTGTATTCTCATAACCAATTGGAATTTATTAGGATTTATCTATGTTTATTTGTTGATTAATTATGTTTGTGCTTCTTTTGTTTATGTTCTTTGATGTGTGGATCCTCACAAAACACATGGTAGGCCATGTGTATGGTTGTGTTTTCATTCGGATCCTATCCATATTTTATCCAAAGTTATTAAATTTGTCGATGTCTTTTTCAAAATATATATGCGAATTTGGATATCAGATTATGATGTATAGAAACTGAACATGTGTCTTGTATATATGCATAACGAAGAAAAAATAAATAAATAACTTCTCTAAGAAATATATCTTCACGTTGTATTGATATCTTTCACGTCGGAGAAAGCCAGCTCATAGAATGTGACAAAACATAAACAAAAATTGAGACAGCGATTCAAAAATGGACCTACCATAAAACATTATAAAAGTCTCCATCAATTACAACAGCCCAACTACTCTTTCAATATATATCAATCATTTCACATTTTTGTGAAAAAAATAAATTAATCAGTTCACAAGAAATTAGAATAAAATTATAGCAATAGCTCCATTTTCTTAAGATCTAAAACGTGTTTTGGCAAAGTACCGTAATAATTAAAAGATAAAACGCATATTTCGCAACTTATCGTACCAGTAATACTCACAAAACAGAACAAAGCATAACAATAATTAAAAAAAAAAAACAATCATAACAACTTTTATCAGTTTTGTTTATTTCATTTATTTATAAAAAGCATCTATACACCTAACGTTTTAATAAGAAACCATTCGTTATTACACATCACAAGAACAGAGCCACGCTTTGGTCTTCTTGATCCTCACCAATGGGGACTCACCTTTCGAAACAGCTCGAGCGTCGAAAAGCCATCTCGACCGAGAAGAAAGTCCTCACCGATCTTCAGAAATCATGCGGCTGCGAATTTCCGGGATGCGATTACATGCCGACTGATCGGAAAAACTGGATGTCCGGCGTTGGACCTGAAAAGCTTCATATCAACAAGATCGTGTGGCCAGGGACTCACGATTCAGCCACGAACAAAATCGGTATCCGATTCGTGTCTCGACCTTTCGCGCAGTGCCAGTCTCTTTCTATATATAACCAGCTCGTGGCCGGTAGTCGAGTCTTGGACATTCGAGTCCAAGAAGATCGCCGTGTATGCCACGGAATCCTCAAGACTTATAGTGTTGATGTTGTCTTAACCGATCTCAAACGGTTCTTGTCCGAAACAGAATCCGAGATTGTGATTCTTGAGATCAGAACAGAGTTTGGACACGAAGATCCACCGGATTTCGATAAGTACCTCATCGAACAGCTCGGTGAGCATTTGATTCACCAAGATGATAATGTGTTCAAGAAGACAGTAGCTGAGTTGCTTCCTAAGAGAGTGATCTGCGTTTGGAAACCGAGGAAATCGCCTCAGCCTAAGCACGGCGATCCGCTGTGGAGCGCGGGGTATTTGAAAGACAATTGGATCGATACGGACCTTCCTTCGACTAAATTCGAAAGCAATTTGAAGCATTTGAGCCAGCAGCAACCTGCTACCTCTCGGAAATTCTTCTACCGTGTTGAGAACACTGTCACGCCGCAGCCTGATAACCCGATATTGTGTGTTAAACCGGTGACTAGCCGGATTCATTGCTACGCCAAGGTTTTTATTATTGAATGTGTTAAGAGAGGATGTGCTGATAAATTGCAGATCTTCTCAACGGATTTCATTGATAAAGACTTTGTTGATGCTTGCGTTGGGCTCACCTTTGCAAGATCTGAAGGTAAGGCTTGAGATATGAAGGCATTAAAGAATCAGACAAAATGGCTGTGTTAGAGTTCCTCGTGTGTAAAGTTGTTTCTTTCTTTGTATTGAGATAAGTCA